TCTCTGAATTGCTTATCCCGGCACGATGTTTCGTTGATGACATGAACCAGAGCTTCGTTTCAGTTAATAGTAAGATAGACTGATCGTGTACTTTGTGCCCCCCCTAAGCACAGGCTCAGAATTAAGAATTGGATATAACTCTAAATATGCGATATTACTGTGTAACCAGTGTGCCGACCATTTGCCAAAACACAATTCGGTATCAAATATGGCTTCGAAACCAATCGAAGCTGAAGCATCTCTAAACATATTAAGCTTGTTCGAGTTGCACCATGCAAGTTTCGTCCAGGAAAAATAAAATACCATTAAAAGAATCAAATCCTCTTTGACCTCCTGACGTAAACGAATGAAATATCGTGGATTCTGAACGCCTTGGGTTAGGTCAATGGACGCCGTTAAAATGCGCGACCTGGCACAATTACGGAACAAGCAAAATTTAACAAGCCAATCAAGGATTGGAAGTCTTTTAAGATAACCATTTTGCGATTAAGAAAAGGAACCATGGTGTCGACGCATTTCGAAAGTTTGTCTGTTGGCGAGCGCTCTTGCTCAATACCAGTAAATTAAGATTGTATTGGTATGATACGAAAAGGGTTCTTGATGTCGGTTTTCGCTAAGAGGCAAACCCGGCCCAGGGCGTTTTATTAAGCCTATTGCACCAGAAATCGTAGCGTAATGCACGCTTGTATTTTCTGAGTGTATCCCATTTTAAACCCATATACACCTTTAGGGAAGGATAAATGATGGATTACAAGATTACAAGATTTTTTGTTATATATACTTGAAATATAACTGTTACATCATTACCTTCCATAAATAGCAAAAGCTAGTCGAGATGGACTGTAGTTTACATTAAGCATCTTAATAATCAAAGAATAATAAAAAATAAAAGAATCAAAGAATAATAAAAGAATAGCCTGCTATATTTCATGTAGAAAGAGACCGAAAAGGGTATCGAAGTCGAAGCGTGCAAACAGTTATGCCTTACCGCATATAGCTATGATAAATAGCCGAGACCAAAATCCGTAATATAAGTTTAAATTAAAGGGGACCTACAGTC